GGGGGTTGAGAAGAGAAAAAAGGTGCATTAACCACTGAATTAAGAACAGTTAACATTCCCTAGATATCAAAAATACATGACTAGAGTGAAAGATTAAGGTCCAACATGTGATGATTATTTTTTCCATCTTTTGAATCTTTTTCTTTTTTTCCTACAATTTGTTCTTCTTCTCCTCCTCCTCTTTCTTCTTCTTGTTTCTTGGAATTAGAAGTAGAAGGACCTGCAGTTGCAGTAGTGTCAATTCCCATGAAATCTTGTGGATTCCAATTAACTCCAATATTAGCTGCAGCAGTATTTCCAGACTTAATGTTAATGTGATTGTCTTCAAAAATCTTTGATGATGTGTCTACTTGTACATGATTTCGGGCAATCAAACGGTCACGTACATCTTTAGTGCTTCTAATTAAAGCAAAAAACTTCTCCATTTTCTCTTCCTCATCTTCTTCTTCTTCTTCTTGTTCTACTGATTTCTCATTCTCCATATTCTTCCTCTTTGTCCTTCTCTCTCTATCCATAATATGCCTTTTTGATAATGAGAGAGGGGGCCAAGCTAAGGCAACAAACAAATATGGAAAATAAGGCTTGCCCCTTATTAATAAACTACTCACTCTCCCAACTACCTCCCCCAACCCACCCCTCCCAACTACCCCCCCCCCCCCCCAGAAAAAAAAAACACAAATAACCAACCAGAAAACAAAGGAAAAAAAATAGTGAAGAAAATTCTATGTGACATTGGTACTTTTGTGCACTAAATTTATAAATCAACTTTATTTTCCATTTAGATCTTTATTTTTGGGAATCATATATGTTTACCTCCAAGAGGGAAGAGATGTATTATGTCTGTACAAAAGGTTCTTTTAATTATATACATATGGTTTTTTTCACAAGAGATTAGTAAATAAATATTGGAAATTCTTGTGTTGTTATTTTCTTGTATTTAAATTGTGACTGGTCATATGTAGGAGATCACTCCTCCTTATATGTTCAAAGTAATGAATTATCTTACAAGTTAAAGTTCACAAACAGTTACTAATAAGATTACAATTGCAGTACAAATTTAACATTGAAAATTTTGAATGCTCTTTTTTAGATAATACCCTTCTCCCTAGGGCAAAAAAGAGAGAATATAACAGACGATAAAAAAGGTGAAGATTATTGGTGAACAACTCCTATTTAAATTGACTTCTTGGGCTTCATAGTTAATGCTGAAAGGTAAGGAAAAAAATACAGTACTCAAATTATTGAACAAAGTTGTCCAAAATGACCTTTTGATTGGAGTTGTTGAATTAGCTTGCGTTCTAACAACCATGGCTAGTTTTGTAATTGCAACGTGATTTCGAGAGACCAAAAAATCTAGAGAATTGCATCATCAACTACGACAGCCATTATGTCAAAGTACACCGACCAGAATATATGCCACGCCCATATCGCGACATGTGATATGTCGTATTGTGCAATTCACCTTACGCTCTAAATTCTTAAATATTAATTTGATTGTTTTGACAAATTAAATTTATTTTGAAATATTTAATATTTTTATAACAAAAAAGGCATATATTTAACCTGCTGTAATTGATGTTATACCTATTTAAAACATTTTAGAAAGACATATATGATTGCTTAAATAAATTACTATTCGATTATTAAAGCTATTAAATAGTATTTCTTTTTACGGAGGTATGAGAATCTTAAGTAAGAATCTTATTTTATATCTCGACAACTTTTTCTAGTGCTACAGATTTTTTGTTAACAAAAAAGTTTTACGATACTCTTTCTTTTTGCTCTTTACTACTGACTGTTCAATTTTTTTCTTTAATCTAGTCATTTTCAACAGACAAAAGGTCGAGATGTGATCCCACATATATTCCAAAGATATGCTAAAGAACTTATTTTTTCTTAATCGTTTTGTCGAGTTAAAAGTGAACAGCTAAATTGAAACACAACCGTATTACTAAAATCTAACTTTTGTTTTTTCACACCTTTTTGTCTTTTCTTTTTCTTTTTCATTTGGGAGTGTTGGACAGAGGAGAGAGTAAAGGGAATGCTTATAAAACTTTCGGTGGATTCTGGCCTAATTATTTACGTCTGTTGTCAGCAGCTCCTTCCCTAGGGTAGTTGTTGGGACTTCAATGCGAGTATTAAAGAAAAGAACAAAAAAAAATCCTTTCTATTTGGAATTTAAGTGATGAAAAACTCCAAATATTGGATCAAAAAACCATTAATAGTTCTGCCGTGAAATTATTTAGTTGCATATAAACAATTGGGTTTGTGCAGAAAGTTCTTAAAATTGGTTAAGACACCAGCCTAAGCAGAGTAAAGCTATATTCTACTGCTTATATCTAAAAGCAAAAGCAAGATCCAATCACATGTCCCGATTTAACCCTTTAGTTTAAACAAATATTGAATTATTAGTACTTCTCTTGTATTTTCCTATTCCTAGCCCCTTGCTATTGCACGGTGTGTCATTATTTCTAGCAGGATTGGCTCAATTCTTATAGTGTCGTATTCTTAGATATTTGTTATTGGACGTTGCACCATTTGCTTCCATGTCTTATTACCTTGTTGTTGCTATTGTCTGTTTATTACTACATTTTCACTTCTCTTGATCCGAAGGTCTTTCGGAAACAACCTCTCTACCCTCATAAGGTAGGGGTAAAATATGCATACACTTTACCCTCTCCAGACCCTATTTGTGGGATTTCATCGGGTATTTGTTGTTGTATTAACAACCAAATGTAGGGATGACAAGTTTAAACAACAGCAAATATCCACCGTCAAAGAGCTGAAGATGGGAGGCAATCAGCAAAGTGGTTAGTTCACCAATATGTCACTATGCCACCAGCTTCACATTACCTCATCAATTAGACAGAACCCAAAACAAACAAACAAACAAGTGGTGCCAACAATGCCGCCCCAACTTTCAGATTCTAGTGTAATGTCATATCCACATGACAGAAGAAAAAAAAAGGGGGTTGGGGGGTTTGGGGGGGGTGAGAGATGGTGATCTAAAGTCGAATTTTTCTGTAGTGTGTAACAGGTGTGCAAATTTTTGACATTGATTCCATCTCAATCAATGACCATGAAGACCAAGAATGGAGAGAGTGGATTTCTAATAGTTCCTTCTTTATGAATTTCAATGTTTGTATGATGGTTTGATAGGAAATTTGCTAATCATCCAACCACTGGACCCCATGTTTAGCCCAGAGATTACCAGCTTTATCTGGACCTTTGCTACCGAAGTTGTATCGTTCAACTGTTACATTGTTGTTGTCCAACTCACTTAAAACTGGAGATAAAACGTTCCACGCAGCTTCAACCTCATCACTTCTCATGAATAGATGGTTGTCTCCGTCTATTACATCGTGAAGAAGTTGCTCATAAGAATCGGTTATCTCAACGTTGTACCTAATGCATCAAACCAAGGGAAACCATAAAAAACAAGGAAATAGAGATCCTATTAAAGCTATTAAAATAAGAAAACAGAAAACATTACTTGTCCTTATAAAGTAAGTTCAACTCAGAAGCCTCCAAGTTCATGCCTAATCCTGGAATTTTATTATTGATTCTGACAAGTATGGCCTCATCAGGCACATCACGCAGAATTAAGTCATTAGTGGCAAGATTTTGCATATGCCCTCCATCTTTATTATAAAGGTTTCCAGGAACACGACGAAATTGTATACGAATTTCGACTCTGCAACACAACATTAAGGATAATTTAGGGAAAAGAAAAGGAGAGACCCATTTGATAACAAATCTCAAGCATGCATCAATTCTCACATTCTGAGACAGATATGAATAGTTTGAATGGAACATGTAGAAACTATCATAACAGCATGCGCAATCCAGATATACATCAAAACTTATACACGTCCTCTGTGTTTATGCAGTAGGATCTGATATTTCAAATAGTTTACGGTTAAATAGAGATATTCAACTAGGGAGCAGTAGCCACACCTGTTCTTTTTGAGCCCCCTGCCAGCCTTAATAAGAAAAGGCACACCATCCCACCGTGCATTATCAACGTATAAAACAGCACCAAAATATGTGGGTATTGGGTTGTCCTTATCCTTGAAGTTACTTCCAGAATCAGCTTCGTAATGCCCAAGAATTACATCAGATGATTCCAGTTTTCGTATTGATTTCAAAACCTTAACCTGATGAGTACAGCCTTATCACTAATTTCAACAAGAATTATTGAAATTTTTGTTGTAACATACAGAGAATAGAGGTTATATACCTTCTCATAACGAATATCTTCACCGTCAAGGGTGACAGGCGGCTCCATAGCAAGCAAGGCGACTGTCTGGAAGATGTGACTGTGTACAACATCTCCTAATATCCCATAGCCATTAGGATATCTATTAAGAGAAGGGGGAAAAAAGAAGAGGGTGAGGATTAGGGCCACATACTTGTAACCTACATAAGTTTACTGAAACCTTGGCTACCTTGCTGAGGTCTGCATGCCTAACTCTTCAGAAAAAGTGACCTGAAAAACATGGTCAATGATAAATTAAGACTTCTTGCATTATCGCCAAGGTGAATTGAGAGTCAATTATCCTAAGTAACTTACCTGTATGTTGTGTATGTAACTTCGATTCCATAATGGCATAAATACTACATTAGAGAACCTTAGAACCGCAAGATTTTCGATTGTGTTCCTTCCCAAAAGATGATCTATCCTGGATGACAGGCAAGTAAAACAGTGATCAGTAAATAATTCAGAATGCAAAGTCTTCTTGTCTCACAATTATCACAGAATGCGGTTCGAACCTGTATAATTGCTTTTCCTCAAAGTCTGAAAGAAGCGAGTTAGTCAACTGATGAGAAGAAAACAAACCCAGACCAAAGGGTTTTTCAATTATTACACGATTCCAACCCCTCTGCGTTTGGGCCTTTTCAGCAAGAGAGGATGCTACGTCGATAAGTGCTTCTTGAGGCACAGAAAGGTAAAATATTCTGTTTGCTCCAAACTTTCCCTAAGGTACACGAGCTGTTAAAAAGACAGGAATAGAAATAGCATAAAATTGGACACAACGAGCACTTAAGCGCACAAAAGTAAATCTTCTAAGCTATAAACGGACAGTCATCAGTGGCACTTACCTCACCTTCTTCCATGAGAGTATTGAGATTTGACATTCCTTCTCGGTTGTCATACCCTCCATTAAGATAGAATATCCTTTTGAGAAATGCATCCATTTTTTCTTCACAGTTTTCTCTGCATAAAGACACTACACAAAGTTATAATAAATCATCTTACGCAATAATTTTATTTTAACATATGGAAATAGAGACGAGTTTCTGTTCAATAATTTTTATGTTAAAAGATCAAATACAAAAGGTATGCGAATTTTCATTCCAGAAAACATTTATTTCTCTAATCACTCATAACTCATTCACTAGCCTTCCAGATGCTCTAGCAAACATATCTCAAAATTTTGAAGTGCAAAAGTCTGAATCTTTTTAGTTAAAACCTCAAAATCTAGAATAGAATCGGTGTGTGTGCGTGTGCGCATATTTCTAAAGTTTCAAATGATATAAATAGATAGATAGACGTGGTAAATATCTAAGACGAAGATACATGTTTATATATGCATTTGGAAGTTAGGAACATACTGGTGATCAATGCGGCAACTTAAAGTTGGTGCTATTATGGCTCTCAGATGATCTTCTGTCAAATTTTTCCTCGAGTACCCAAATATACCAAATTTCTGCAGCCATCAAAAAGCCAGTAAGCCTAGAAGGTTAACCTTATCTGTATATTACTTTCCAGTGGTACGCTTCTTTAGATAAAAAAAAAACTCAAGCAGATGCAACTAGCAAGATACTTCAAATATTCTCATTCAATCTATTAGCTTGATCTTTTTATTCGACTACCTTGTTAATATTTTATCCAAAAAGTTTCAGATTTCTAGTGCATCAATTGTTCTTGCCTGAATCTACTTCAAATGATTCTAACAGACAAGGAAGTACCAACCATTATATACTTCAAGTTAAAGTACCAAATCCATATCATAACTTCATGATGTGGTCAGTTCTCTTCAGAAGTGGAAGCCCTGACTCCTTGTCAAGCCCCACAATTCATCTCATAGTTCACATTCTACAATTGCACTTGGTCTGGCACACGAGTCCACTCTTCTGACATGAAACTTGCTCTAATCCTAACAGATGTAACTTGCCTCCAAATTACAAGCAATGTGACAAGTGTTATGGTCAGTAGCCAAAAGCTTAAAGGCACAAATTGCTAGAAAACTAAAGCCTAATACATCTTCAACTAGTTCAGTTTAACAAGCATGGCACCACCCCTCCCCCTCAAAAGGTTCTTCTAGATGTTAATCAAGCTAGTATGTTTGATCTCAATTAAAAAAAATTATACAAGCTACCAAAGATAGTTTCATTTAGTTAATTTCAGAAATTTTATAATCTGATACAACCAATTAATGTGACTTGTGAGGTACAACAGAAATTATATTTTCCATTGTTTAGAAATGGGAAAATACATAAAATGCACCTCGTACTTATCCCGAAAAATCAGTTTCACACTCAACCTTTAGGGGCGTCCTAGTACCACCCTATCCTTATTCAAAGTAAAATTAATACCTCCTTCAAAGGTGAGGTGGCAGAGATACTAATTTCACCTTACTCAAAGCACGTGGAAGGCTGAAAAAATGTAAAAAGCTACTTAAATTTTACAGATGTTATTTTTCCATTGGTTGTTACATTTAATTACACTTAATTAGTTGTATTTAGTGTAATACTAACCCTTTTTATTTTTATTTTCCTTGTTCTTTTTCATTTTCCCGTTTTCTTTTCTTCTCTTTCCTCTTTCCTTTCCTTCTTTCTCTTTCCTCCATTGTCACAAGAGAGCAGCACCATACAATCATAATCGTAACAGAACAAAAATTAAAGATTGATAGTTCTTTCTCCACCTATTTTATCACCTCATCCACCCTCCAATTGTTCTTCACAGCTTGGCTGGAGCAAATAACCAAGGTGGAAACGAAAACACAGCACTTTGTTGGATCTTTCTTAGCTTCCTCTTGCTTTGCAGTTGTGTTCTACACATTAAATTCACTTTACATTTTTATCTTTTGACCAAGAAGGAAAGAAGAAAAAGGAAAAGAAAAACCCAATACATGAGATCATTTTCTTGTCAATATAGTCAGCTAGCTTCTCTTGCAATTGTTCCATCAGAAAAACTTTTTCTGAAAAAGTCACTTCTTTGGTTGTAATTTGGTTGCCCATGGAGATCCGACAAATGTGGCTGAAAATTTTCCAGCAAGCTGGAAAAGTTGATAAAAATATTTGGAATATTTTGAAGGAGAGAAATAAAGGTTCGGGTGGGGGTGGGGTGGGGGGATTATTCCAATAAAAGAAATAAAAAAAATGAAAAAACCTGCAAAAATGCCACGTGTCAGTGCGTGTAAACACTACTTGGGTAGAATTTGGTTGTGGCATTTTAGGGGGTAAATAAATTCATCTAGGATAAGGATAGGTGGTAATAGGATATCCGTAAAGATTGGGCGTGAAATTAACTTTTCGGGACAAGTATAGGGAGCAACTTATGTATTTTCCCTATAGAAATATATAATAAGATATGTGCCTTTAGTAGTAGATGGGGTAACATTATAATAATGTTAAATTATTAAGTAGTAAAGGAAGCATGAATATTGATGTCAGTGCTATATCGTTTAACAACATACTCAGTTAATTATATATTTGTATGGAATCATATTAAACATTGACAAAAAATAAAATCTGAACTAACATAAACTTTCTGAACAAGCTGGTTCATTAACAACTCATTTCCTACTCATATGAGGAAAGGGAGCACAAGGAATGTGTCTTCTATAAAAATAAGGATGCACCATAACAGATTATCGGGTATAAGTTTCATACTGCATCTATAACCCTTAACCGACCAACCAAAAACTTAAGAAGAAATTATGCTCCACTCAGATTAGACATGAATATTATGGACACTGAACAGGATAGAAATATCAACAGATGTATAGATGTCAAAAAGGAGCAGAATGGTAGTTGATCCAATGTACCTACCTCTGGAAGATGACCACTGTAATACAAAGCAAATAATGCTGGAAATATTTTCGTTCTGGCTAGTAAACCAGTGGCCCCGATAACTGCAACGCTAAGAGAGGCTGAATCATCAGTTTCTGCATCAGTACTGGATGATGGAGTCTCAAACAAAGGCAACTTTATGGAAACCTCCATCCCAGAAGCATCAACTTTAACTTCTTCATCAAGTGAAGTAGTGCTTCCAGTTCCTTCCACATTGAAAGATGTAGACCTTATGGAACAATGCGGTTTGTTGACTTCAGGAGGTTGAACATGTGCCACATTAATCATTTGTGTTCTGGTTTTCTTTATTGTCTGTCCCTTTGAAAGAATCTATATCAGTCTCCAGACAAATATTCGCCATCACAATGGAATTGGCCAGAAAAGATGCATGCAATGAATTCCCCAACTAAACCACACTATTATAGAATGCAGGAAAAGTGAGCTACGAAAAGACAAAGCTAAAAACATGATTCACCAGTTTCTTCTGATTCGAAGATGAAAGAGTTACTAAAAAGTATCAGTCAAACTGAAAATATTGCCAACAGTTTGGATTCATCTAGTCAACCAGTTCACCCGACTAAATATATTTAGGAATTCAGGGCATGCAGGAAGAAGAGATACTTCAGTTTGGTGCTGTAGCATGTAGGACATGCATGTTAATACCGCTTTGACACATCTCGGGAACGGATTTATACGTCTTTCTAGTTTTTTACCATTATCTTTTCTGGTAAACTCGTCTTGAAAGGAGCCCAGAGGTGATTTAGAATTGTGACAGCAGTAGAACATGGTTAAAATAACTAATTATATTATCATTCAGCAGCTCAATTAAATACCGATTTTAGCAGATCCAGTTATTGGCCTTATGCTTGCGATTTGATAATTTCTTCTTCAATAACTATAAAATGTGTATATAAAACTTTCACTTAGTGTATTGTGCAAAACATGAAAAATCACATATTTCGTGAAAAGGTTTAGTGTTATGTCAAAACTTCCTTCCAACCAAATTTAGCACATTTTATTGGGGCATCTAGAGATGCGACCAATCCTAGGTGGTAAAATGGTTGACAGAATCTCAATAACTGGGAATTTCTGTGCTTATCCATCTGAACTTTAATATTAATGGCAGAAAACTAAAGATACTAGTAGTTAGTAATTTGTACATAGAACCACTTATATTAAGTTGAGAAATTATGACATAGCCCCTATACTCACTTGAAACACGGACAACTAAATAGATTAGCAATTTCGGAAAAATAAAAGGGGAAGAAAAAGAAAAAGAAATTCTGGATCATAGCTTACAAGACAACCTAAAATGACTCGGGGTATGGTCATGTTTAAAAGTATACAGAAGTATACATTGAAGGGTTCACAAATTACCAATACTTATGCTATACTTGTTTGACATGGAAATGTCAAGGCATACAATGTAACGTAGATCATCGGTTCAGTATATCATAATCAAGGTACATTTAGATGTCTTCCTTCACATATTTAAGCCCAAAAAAAGATCTTTTTATCAGTGCGACAGTAGAAACTAACACTCTGTTTGGATCATTGTTTCCTATCGTTTTATAATGTATTGTATTGTATTGTACCGTATCGTTTTATGAATACATTGTTTGGATAGATTGTATTGTTTGTTATTGTTAAATAATATTTTGTTGTTTGGTTTGACTGTATCTTACTGTACTGTAACTGATAAGTTTACTAAAATACCCTCAATTGTTTAAATATTAAATTTATCAAAATTATGTATAAAAATAATTTTAAAAACCAAAACAGAAGAAGGCAAAACACAATAAGGAAGCAGAACAAAGGAGCGAGACAGTAAAAGGCAAAACAAAGGAGCACAACTAATTAGAATTGAGTTACAAGCAAATTAGGAGAAAAAAATAAAACAGGAGACAACAAAACACCTTTAACATTGGTCTGGAAAAAAACAAAGTAGGTTATAAGTTGGAGATTTGGAGCTAAAATAGAAAAAAGATAAAGGGTAAAATAGAATTATGGAGTAATAAGTTAGGGCATAATTGGAAAGAAAAATAGGAAACAATCCCACCACACCAAATCGGTTGTTTCAAAAAAGGGAACTTTTCATTGTTCCGGAACAATGGATTTAACAATACAATACAACCAATTTTAATGAAACAATCAAAACAAACATTGTTTTGGGATAACAATACAATACAATACAACGAGGAACAACCATCCAAACAAGCTGTAAGATCGTACAAACATACAAAATTTCTCATCTAAGACCAAACAACAAACATACAACACACACACGCGCGCTTATATACACATACACATGAACTCACTCTTAAGTAAAAGCACATAGATACACGTAGCATTCTTCCCCTCTAATTCTTTTACATTTTTTTACATAAACACACTAGCACTCAAATTCGAAACTAGAATAAATGATTAGTTACTTATTCTCTGTATCGTTCCAATTTTATCGGCTGTCCCCCAAGGAACGATAGTCACCTGTTATATCACTGAATTACAACATTCTTCAGTCTATGAACACCAATTTTCTTCGTGCAGTCTGAAATAACTTACTTTTTCTAGTAAATTTCATATACTTCTTCATAAATTGAAAATTTATAAAAAGAGGAAATAGAGAGCACCATATAGCTCAATTTGGTTCACCAGGAAAAATATGAGAAAATGGATTCAAAGTTTACCGGAAAAGTACGGACAGCTGTTGGTAATACAGCGAGTTTCCGATTAGTTGAGGGGAAGATTGAGATCTCTGATGAAGACGTTGATAGCGATACTGATGAAAGCGACGCCATCACTTTGATTCTTCCGATCAACACATTTCTGTTGTATTTCCCAGTATATATATCGTTGTTTACTATGAAAAATACGTTGACAAATCCTCTGATGTCTGGGTTTTGACTTTTGGTGATGTTTTGGGCTTGGGTTCTCACATTTTTTGGACGGATTCCTCTCTGCGCGTGCAATTGCAGCTTAACTTTCGCCCGTCATTTGTAAAAATGATATCCTATTTGGTCACTCCTTTTAATTTATACTAGTCTCTCGGCACGTGGAAGACACGTGTATGCTGAGTCAGGTAATTTACGTTAATATAAAATAATATTAATAATATTAAACAAAGCTTTACGTTACATAAATTACATAACTTATCTACATAGTATGTCAAATCATCTATTTTTTCTTATAAATTTGTGTAATTTTAACTTGTATTTTACTTGTAACAATTATATCTTTTCTCCTGCTTGGTCCTTCTCTAATAAGTGGTTCATTATTCCTTACATGCAAACTACATCTAAAATTTCATCAAAACATTGTATAAAATGAATTACTTAAGAAACATTATTTTATCAGCAATTTCTTCTTGGTATGTTTTGATGTTGTCAAGCAAGAAAACAAACCGTTAAACCGAAGGAATATATATTCCTTCTATCGTATAATGTATGAATAAAATTGCCTAACGGACAACTGTTTTGAAATCTTCTTCTCTACATCGAAATCAAGAAATATTACTTCGCAAAATAATCTCTAATATCCATGATTTATTGGACATTTTGTCATGCAAAGAAATAACGGTGATCTCCACTTGGTTCTGACCATCTATGACTATGATGAATGGTTTTCACGCTGGTATATGTACCTTATTTTTGTGGATTTCATTTTTCTTCTTCGTTTTTATATGCCTTTCGTGATTATTTTTGTAGATGTATTTTTCAACTCATATGTAGTTAATTCAAACATTGCATTGTTTACTCTATTGCCTCGACTTTATATATTCCTATCCTGCTATATACCTTCTATATTATAAGTTTTACCCAGGATATGAGTATGATCCAAGAAGTCATTTTGAAATCATATCTCCAGCGACTCCTCAAGTGTTATTCTCCATGCTATGGATGGAATCTTTGTACAACTCGGTGATACAAGCAGAGAGAAGTCTTTTGTAAATCATAAAATAATATTTTAAAAAAGGAACCTACGGAAGAAATTAAGTGCCGCTGAAGGGGTGCGTCAATACAACGGAAAAATTAAAGTGTCTGTTCACTTGTTGAGGATAAGTTCATTGGTGCCATTTTCCATGAGTAGGAAGTTTAATTTATTTATAGGGTCTTTTTCTCTCCTTTTTTTTTTTTTTTTTTTTGGTTAAGGGCAAAATGGTTCATTAGTTTGAAGGGCATTTTTGTAATTCAACTTTAGGCTTAGGGGCTTCCCACTTTTAATATAGTATAGATTCATTTAGTTTTTTCGTTTGCATCCGTACCTATTTTCTTATTAAAAGTATTTTACAAAGACGATTTTGCCCTTTTTTACAAACTGCATGATAAAAACTTAAGTATGTTTAGGCTGAAGTTTTAGCAAATGAATTAAAAAAAATTAGCTTGTTTAGACTGAAGTTTCGGATAAAACTCAGGACAAATTTATATACTGCGTTACAAAACTTCAGCATGTTTTGATATGAAGTTTTAGCAAATGAATTAAATAACTCCAGTATGCATTAGCAAAAACTCTTTAGAAAATTACATACTGCAAGACAAAAACTTAAGCATGTTTAGTCTGAAGTTTTAGCAAATGAACTAAAAAACTTAAGCATGTTTAATGTGAAGTTTTAGCAAATGAATTAAATAACTTCAGCATGTTTTGTCTAAAGTTTTAGCAAATGAACTAAATAACTTCAGCATGCATTACAAAAACTCATTAGAAAATTACATACTGCAAGACAAAAACATAACCATATTTACTCTGAAGTTTTAGCAAATGAACTAAAAAACTTAAGCATGTTTAGTCTGAAGTTTTAGCAAATGAACTAAAAAACTTAAGCATGTTTAGTATGAAGTTTTAACAAATGAACTAAAAAACTTAAGTATGTTTAGTTTGAAGTTTTAGGAAATGAACTAAATAACTTCAGCACGTTTAGACTGAAGTTTCGGATAAAACTCATGACAAAACTGTAGATTGCAGGATATATAACTTCAACATGCATTAGCATGAAGTTTTAGCTTCAACATAAAACAAACTTCATGCTGCATTAGCATGAAGTTTTGGCTTTAACGTGAAACATCTTCATGCAAGTGTGATTCTAAAGATGATCTGGATAAGTTTTAATATTTTTTGATAAAGTTGTTGATAGGAGAAGAGGAGATCTATTTTCACGAATGAGGTTGCAGATCACGCGATTAATGCGTGATGCAAGTTTTATATCTTATGGTCAGGGGTATAATTGTCATATTATTACGAATTTTTCTGTCAGCTGGCTACCAAACAATAATTTTTAAAAATATTGTACATGTTAAAAGGTGGCATAAATATAGGGTACGGCTGCAGATCCCCCATTTGATTCTTGATATTGGACCCATGGGATCTTTACATAAATAGCCGGCCATATTCATTATTTACTTATTCTAGTCATATACATATATTATACATTGATTATACATAATTATACACATGTAGTACATAATTTAGGCATATATTATGCATTGACTAGATATTTTTAGTTTAAGCAATTGGATTATCAGCTATTTTGGTGAATTCTTCTTCTTTTTTAAACAAGAAATTACATTGGAGGGACCTCTTTAAGACCGCCGCTTATATTTTGACCTTATTTAAGAAATTTAAGCGTTTTAGCCTTTCATCGAACTTTTTTTTTCCTCCTCCTTCTTGTGCATCTTCTTCTTCTTCTTCCTCCTTTTGCCTCTTCTTCCTCTCCTCCTCTCTTCCTTTCCTTCTTCCTCTTTCAATAAATTATGAGCACACAATTAAAATTAAAAAATAATAAATATATGGCATTATGGTTAAAATTGAGTGGGTAATGATATGTTGAGCTTATGTTGTCTATCTTTAATAATTTGGATTGGTTTGATGGGAGAAAAATGAAAAATACTTTTGAATTTTGTTTGAGCTTGAAAATATCTTGTTGAAGAAGACAAAATGAGTCTATTGATTTTTGAAGATTTAAGTTGAATCTAACTATTGGAACATGTTAAGATTGGTAGTAGAAAATTGTATATCAAATTGAAGTCATTTGACATTGATATTGGGGCAAAACATGGTGATAAAACTTTTGCAGAATAGTTATGGCAACGGTCAAATTTTTGTGCCTAACTATATATTTGCCATGATTTTTGCACCACCACTATGGTAACCATCAAAATTTTGTGCCTAATTGCGAAAAAATTGTAGTAACCATAAGAATTTTATGACAACTACCGTAACTTTTAGTGAAGAAACTTTTTGCCAAATCAAATATAAAACTTCAAGCGTTTGTCAGGAGCTTGCCCAAAATACTCTAACGAGCATGCTTCAAAATTCTGGCAAAGACTATTTTTATAAGGCTTTGGTTAACGAAGTCAAAATTTAAATAGTGGCACCAAATAATCTATTTGTGCAATCACCATTATTTGAACCTTGAATGATTGCTCCCGTTGTAGACCCTACTAATAGAGGTATATTTCGGATTTTAAGTTAATGAATTGTGTAATAGTAACTCTTTCATGCACTTTACGCAATAATTATAAACGCACGACATTTGTTTTTTTAATAAGATCTATGACTTGACGATAGTTAATTAAGATATAGTAATTTTTCTCAATTTATCACCTAAAAGGATCGGGTTGGGATAAAAAATTCTTATGTACAATTGCACATCTTTACTGTAAGTATAAGGTTTATATTCTCCTAGAGTTAGGTAGAGTTTTCTCATGAAGATTTTGCTTTCATGTTAATTGGTATGTGTATGACCACAACATGAAGGGAACTTAATTTTCAATGCGCATAAGTATATCCAATATATATCTCACCACTATAAAAAAAGGAAAATAAGTTTAAGCTACTCCTTGTAGAATAGATGTGTCAAACATCATTCATGTACTGGCTGGCCAGCTGGAAAATTTAAAAAAAAAAAAAAAAAAAGTGCTCCAAAATGTCTAGTTCTACTGCGGATTCATAGGATTTAAAAAGTATCACGTTATAATGCTAGAAATAATTAATTGCAACTTAAAATTTATTGCCTATTACTATTAAAGCAAGTACATTAGCAATTTAGCATGATCTAAAGCTTAGACCTAACAGCTAATCAAATGGTAAGTGGAGCAGTATACATGAGATAAGCTGATGATAAATGCTTGAGATGGAGCTATTTGGAGCTGCTCTTCTTCTAGTCTGCCAAAGAGGGAAAAGAAAGAAAAACTGGAGTTGCTCAAATCCATAAAACTCCTTTGACTACTAAAATAGTTCTTTCAATTTTCTTGGTTACAAAATGGACTTTTTTATTTTAAAAAGTGGTATCACGTCAATGTTGTGTAAGGTCAAGTCACAACCTTCTTATGTTCTCGGGACATAATTTTGTATTTTTGGATATTCTTTATTTCTGTAATGCGTAGTGTTATTGAGTTATTTTTCTATTACAAAAGTTAGTCATGACTTTGGTGCAATAAAGTGAAAGTTAGATTATTATATGCAAAATTTACCCAAGAATAAAATAATTGAATATACTATAATTTGTCACAATATGAATATTTTTAAAGCTTACAATTATTTACTGTAGGAAAGAAAAGGTCAAGTCTACAAAACCATGTTGCCTACAGAGGCGGACCCAGGATTAGCAGTCGTGGGAGCACTATGACATTCAATATAATTTATTATTGTTCATAACGATTGGTACGGGGGCTATGCCAATATCTGACTATTTTTTTAAGACATTTGTAAGTGTATATGGAGTTTTTGCCGAAGTTTCCGGATGCTGGTGACCCCTCAACTTATAGTGTAGGTCCGCCTCTGGTTGCATATATAAGAAGAAAATAAAAAACGAAAGCAATCTCTGAAATGAATAATTGAAGCAACCAAATTCAGCATTGTGTGCGTTATCCTTTACTTAGAGCCCGTTTGGATTAGCTGGAAAAAATTAAAAGTAGTTTTTAAGCACAAGTGCTTAAAAGTAGCTTTAAGTGCTGAAACTTATTTTATAAATAAGCAGTTACCTGTTTGGAT